TTAATACAGGACTGACTGATTGAGCCGATAACTGCCTGACTGATTGAGCCGATGCCTGCCTTACTGATTGAGCCGATGTCTGCCTGACTGATTGAGCCGATGTCTGCCTGACTGATTGCGCCGATTCCTGCCTGACTGATTGAGCCGCTGTCTGCCTGACTGATTGAGCCGCTGCCTGCTTGTATTTTTTTTACTAGAGTATTCTATGAATATTGAACGTTATCAAAATGTTTGCACTTTTCGTTCACTAAATTGCTGTTATGAACTGTTATTATACGGATGCTTTCAATGCATTAGAGGGACAGTGATCTGCAGCAGCAAAGTGTGTAGGTGTCACTCGGAAGTTTCGTAATGACTGATTGAGCGTGGGGCATGAAGTGGAGGTGGTAGACGGCCGTTCTGCTTCGTCTTCATGTTTCACACTCCTCCAGCCGTTTCGGAACTTCTCGATTCGCGCGTGCACGTTTCAGCTGTGAAACACAGTACTCGTTCAGGGTCGAAACTTTAACGTTAATTCTTTTACATTGCATCCTATTTCAATTGTAAAATTTAAATTTAAAAGCTTTTCATTAATGCACTATTCGCGGTAATTTAGCCAGTCTGACTGACTGATGTTTGATAGAGCCACTGCCTGCATGACTGATGGAGCCGCTGCCTGCCTGACTGATGGAGCCGCTGCCTGCCTGACTGATGGAGCAGCTGCCTGCCTGACTGATGGAGCTGCTGCCAGCCTGACTGATTGACCCGATGCCTGCCGGATTGATTGAGCCGCTTGCTGCCTGACTGATTGAACCGAAGCCTACGTGTATGAAACAAAAATATTTCTTAAGCATTTTCTTTGAATGCTTTTTTCATTATTATTATTAAGGAAGTTTTTTCTAATAGATATAGTAATAAAATGAATTTTAATACAGGACTGACTGATTGAGCTGATGCCTGCCTGTCTGATTGAGCCGATGCCTGCCAGACTGACTGAGCTGCTGCCTGCCTGACTGATGGAGCCGCTACATGTCTGACTGATGGAGCCGCTGCCTGCCTGACTGATGGAGCCGCTGCCTGCCTGACTGATGGAGACGCTGCCTGCCTGACTGATGGAGACGCTGCCTGCCTGACTGATGGAGACACTGCCTGCCTGACTGATGGAGCCGCTGCCAGCCTGACTGATGGAGCCGCTGCCTGCCGGATAGATTGAGCCGCTTGCTGCCTGACTGATTGAACCGAAGCCTACATGTATGGAATAAAAATTTCTTAAGCATTTTCTTTGAATGCATTTTTTATTATTATTATTAAGGAAGTTTTTTCTAACAGATATAGTAATAAAATGAATTTTAATACAGGACTGACTGATTGAGCTGATGCCTGCCTGACTGATGGAGCCGCTGCCTGCCTGACTGATTGACCCCATGCCTGCCGGATTGATTGAGCCGCTTGNCGTAATGACTGATTGAGCGTGGGGCATGAAGTGGAGGTGGTAGACGGCCGTTCTGCTTCGTCTTCATGTTTCACACTCCTCCAGCCGTTTCGGAACTTATCGATTCGCGCGTGCAAGTTTCAGCTGTGAAACACAGTACTCGTGCAGGGTCGAAACTTTAACGTTAATTCTTTTACATTGCATCCTATTTCAATTGTAAAATTTGAATTTAAAAGCTTTTCATTAATGCACTATTCGCGGATTTTTAGCCAGCCTGACTGACTGATGTTTGAAAGAGCCACTGATTGCCTCACTGATTTAGCCGCTGCCTGCCTGACTGATTGAGCCACTGCCAGCCTGACTGATGGAGCCGCTTGCTGCCTGACTGATTGAACCGAAGCCTACATGTATGAAAAAAAAATATTTCTTAAGCATTTTCTTTGAATGCTTTTTTCATTATTANGACTGATGGAGCCGCTGCCTGCCTGACTGATGGAGCCGCTGCCTGCCTGACTGATGGAGCCGCTGCAAGCCTGACTGATGGAGCCGCTGCCTGCCTGACTGATTGACCCGATGCCTGCCGGATTGATTGAGCCGCTTGCTGCCTGACTGATTGAACCGAAGCCTACGTGTATGAAAAAAAATATTTCTTAAGCATTTTCTTTGAATGGTTTTTTCATTATTATTATTAAGGAAGTTTT